GGGAGAGCCCGTGGCCATGGTGGGACATACTTGTTTGGCCTCCGCCCCCAGCTGGTCTATGAGTTTTTCCTGCGTTTCCTGGAGAGCCCGGACTTCCAGCCCTCCGTGGCCAAGAGATACGTGGACCAAAAGTTTGTCCTGATGGTGAAGTGGGGAGCCCAGGCTGGGGGGGGAGGGGCCCAGGGGCAAGGGCAGCAGGACAGGAGGGCAGTCGCCCGGCCTTGGCCTCCTGCCTGACCTCTGGCCCCCGCCGGGTCTCCCAGCTCCTGGAGCTGTTTGATAGCGAGGACCCCCGGGAGCGTGAGTACCTGAAGACCATCCTGCACCGGGTCTACGGCAAGTTCCTGGGGCTGCGGGCCTACATCCGTAAGCAGTGCAACCACATCTTCCTGCGGTGAGCGGCTGCCGGAGCACACGTGCAGGGGATGGGGTGGTGGGGCAACCAGGTCTCTTCCTATTGAGTCCATCTGACAGGTGAGAAAGTGGGGGCCCAGAGAGGACGTAGGGCCCAGGACCGGATTCTTCTCACCGTTTACGTTGCGCCCCACACCTGGACCACGTGGCTCTGGACCTGGGTGGCCGGCATGTGTGTTTGGAGCCAGGATCTGGGGGACTCTGGGGAGGTCCTCCCTGGCTGCTCCTACAGCAGGCCCCCTGGTGCCCTCACTGAGGGACCTCAGACACAGCCCTGAAGACCGAGGGAGGGAGGCCTGTGCGGCCAAGGCCAGGACTCGTCCCCTCAGCTTGTGACAGTTCGAAAAACAGCCCAGGTGTGAGCCCTGGCCGGTAGGAGGAGCCTGGAGTCCCCGCGGTCCTCTACTGACTGACCTCTTTGGAAGGGGCAAACCACCTGCACTTCGGTCCAAGCCTCAACGTCTCCATCTGTAGTGGGTCGAGGCGGCCCTGGGAGCAGCCACCCGTTAGCATGTTGGACGCTGCTGACCAGAGTGCCTCCTGGGAGAGGCCTGATGCCCAGTTTCCGAGTGCACTGCCGACTCTGGCACACCAAGGGGGACTGGGAGGCAGTCGACTCGTGGGCAATGTTATTTCTGCTTGAATCCTCACTGGCTCTACCTCGTGGGACTGTTTTGAGGACCCAGGAAGGATGCTCTGGAGATGAGCTGGGTGCTTCTCGGCAGAGAGGGTGGCTGGGCAGAGCAGGGGGCCCTGCTCCTCAGGGCCTGCGTCTGGGGGTGCTGGGTTGGTCGGGCGCGGGAGCTGCGGGCTGGGCTGACCCTCTGGCCCCTCTGCAGGTTCATCTATGAGCTGGAGCACTTCAACGGGGTCGCAGAGCTCCTGGAGATCTTGGGCAGGTGAATCTTTAGGGCCCGGAGACAGGGCAGGCTTCTGAGGGGAGGGACGGGGGCCCGGTCAGCCCTCTGAGCCCGCCCCTCTGGCCCCTCCTCAGCATCATCAATGGCTTTGCACTGCCCCTGAAGACCGAGCACAAGCAGTTCCTGGTCCGGGTCCTGATCCCGCTGCACTCTGTCAAGTCCCTGTCGGTCTTTCACGCCCAGGTGAGACCCAGGCCAGACCCTGTCCACCAGGGGCCACCTGGCCCGTCCCGGGACCTGGGACTCTCCCGCAGAGCCTTGTGCTGAGCGGCCCCCTGTATTCCCAGCATGCTGAGCACACTACTGGTCCCTCCTAAAACCAGACCAGACTCCCTGCCATCGAGGCGATGCCCACCCAGCGGCCCTATAGGACAGGGTAAAACGGCCCTGTAGGCTCCAGACTGAACTCTCTGGGAGTGGAAAGCCCGGGCTTCCGCCCAAGGTCCCGCCTAGGTGCTCAGGAAAGGCAGGCAAGCCAGCGCAGGGGGACACGCCTGAGCCCTTGCTATGGCTGTTCCTGGGTGGCCGGTCCCCTGCCCCGTCCGCCCTGACCCCCCGCCCCCCATCTTCTTCCTCCCCTGCAGCTGGCATACTGCGTGGTGCAGTTCCTGGAGAAGGATGCCGCGCTGACGGAGCACGTGAGTCCTTCAGAGGGGAGGGCGGCTGCAACCTCCCTGCCCGCTCCCCCTGCCCCCGTCCTCCCAGGGCTGACCCCGATGCCTCCACTCATAGGTCATCCGCGGGCTGCTCAAGTACTGGCCCAAGACCTGCACCCAGAAGGAGGTACAGGACGGGCACTGAGGCTGCTGCCGGGGTGAAGGGGCGAGGCGAAGTGGGCGGGGGGTGAGTGCTGGCCCTCCGCCCCCTCAGGTGATGTTTCTGGGGGAGATGGAGGAGGTCCTCGATGTCATCGAGCCCTCCCAGTTCGTCAAGATTCAGGAGCCGCTCTTCAAGCAGGTGGCTCGCTGTGTCTCCAGCCCCCATTTCCAGGTATGACCCGGGCAGGGGGAAGGGGCTGGCCTAGTGTGGCTCCCAGGGTCCCTGGTGTCCCTCTTGTGGGCCCGACGGTGGAAAAGGAGACCCAGGGCTAGCATCAGTCTGCTCTGGCCCCCGTGGTGCCTTCCCAGGTGACAGTGCAGGTGGGAGAGGCAGGGCCAGCCGGGCTCCCTACACCTGGGGTTTCTGCAGGTGTGGGCAGACCCCACTCTTCAGGGGCACTCTCACTTGGTGGAAGTCCCTCCAGCCCCCCTGACTTGTTGAATGCCCCCCAAATGTAGTCTCACAGCAGCCCTGTGCAGGCCCGCCCGCCTGCCCATAGCAGTCCTGGCCCAGGGAGCCGGAGACAAAGGCAGAGGGCAGCTGCCTTGTCCTGGGGTACCTGGCCAGCCCGAAGTGGAGCTGGGGCTTATCTCTGAGGGCTGCAGGGGGGGGTGTCCCATGAGCCCCAAGGGCTGGGGGGCCACTGGCAGGACCCCCATTGTGTGGCTCGCCGGCCCAGGTGGCAGAGCGGGCTCTGTACTTCTGGAACAATGAGTATATCCTGAGCCTCATCGAGGACAACTGCCACACAGTGCTGCCCGCCGTGTTCGGGACCCTCTACCAGGTCTCCAAGGAGCACTGGAATCCGTGAGTGGAAGGGCAGGGCAAGGCGGGGATGCTGCGACTCAGCTGGGCAGAGGGCGGTGGGCAAGGGGAAGGGGCTCTCAGCTCCTCACACCCCCACCCCCGGCCCCGGGCAGAACCATCGTGTCTCTGATCTACAACGTGCTCAAGACCTTCATGGAGATGGACGGGAAGCTGTTTGAGGAGCTCACGGCCTCCTACAAGCTGGAGAAACAGCAGTGAGTGTGGGGGCCGGGCGGGGAGCGGTGGGGCAGGAAGGAACTGGATCCTCGGGGTGGGGGTCACACGAGCATCCCCCTATGATGACAGGGATGTTTCACGTCGCTCCCCTATTCCTGCTGAGCACGGCCCGACTGCCCTCAGCACCCTCAGGTCTTGCTCGGTGTAGTTCTCCCACCTCCCTGCAGCCACGGGGCCTTCTGCCTGGGCCTTGCTGCATCCTGGGGCTCTCAGCCCTCTGCAGCAGGGGTGGCAGGGTCCAGCAGGGGCTGCCTCACCCTCTCCCCGCAGGGAGCAGCAGAAGGCCCAGGCGCGCCAGGAGCTGTGGCATGGCCTGGAGGAGCTGGGGCAGCGCCGGTTACAGGGCACGCAGGGGGCTAAGGAGGCCCCCCTCCAGCGGCTTACCCCCCAGGTGGCCGCCACTGGGGGTCAGAGCTAGAGTTCCCACAAGAGGAGAGCGGAGCCCAGCCCCTCTACCCCTCCTCTATCCAGAGACTTGGCTTCCCTCCGGCCGGGCAGGGGACTGAGGACGCCCTGCCTGGCCCGAGAAGGCAGCTTTCCCAGGGGGTGAGGAAAGATGGTGGTCTTGGTGGGGGTGGGGGAAGTGCCCAGGCTCTCGTGACAGGACTTGACCAGGGCAAGCTTGACCAGGAAGCCGCTGCTGGGGACCCACCCTGCCGCACCGCTGGGCCCCTGCCAGCTGCAGGCAGGTTCCTGGCCCTGCTCCCGGCCGCCTCCCGCACCTGCCCCTCCCTCGTGCCAGCGCGAGGCCCTCGAACCCACCATGGGATCCATGGTCTATTTATTCTCCCCCTCCAGACGTGGGCCTGGGCTGCCCGGTCCCTCCCCTTCCTCTCCCCGGACATCCGCATCCCCTTTTTATTTATTGGGCAGGGGGAGGGGTGAGGGCACAGAGAGCAGAGACCCCCCAGTGTCCTGGGGCGGGGGTCCCGGTCATCCCGGTCTAGCCCCCTCCCCTGGCGGGGGGTGGATGCAATAAAGAGAGACTCTCGGAGCTCGTACTTTTATTTAGCTGGGGCTGGGGAGGTGGGTGAGGGAGGTGTGGGTGGCAGAGGCTGGGAAGGGACAGACCCCCATCTAACCTGTGGTCTCCGCATCTAAAAGGGTGAGCACACCATGCACCCTTCCCTCAGAAAAGCCAGCTGCAAGCTCTTGCCCCCCCCAACCCCCAGAGCCCCCCATCAGATGCCCGAGGGCAGGAGGCGGAACCAGGAGTGTCTAGTGTCGCGAGAGGCGGCACATGTCGCACTGGCAGGTCCTGGCCGTGAAGAAGTCCAGGTCCTCCCACTGGCCACCCACGCATTGCAGCCGGACCTTCACCTGGGGCAGATGGGGGGCCACCTTCTAGCACCCAAACGCCAGGTCCTGGCCCCACCCCTGCCCCCCAGACGGATGACGTGAGCCCAGCTCTCACCTTGCTCATGCCTCGGATGGTGCAGCACTGTGAGACAGAGGTGATGTTGTGGCGGTAGTCACTGGCCACCAGCACGGAGAGCCGAGAGGGGAAGGCGCTGGACTCGCAGTGGCCCACGCAGGCCTGTGCCACGTGGGAGCCCTGGCAGGTGCCTTGGCGGTCACTTCGCACCGTCACGTTGAAGGCTGCGTGGGAGAGGCATGCCCAGCTGTGGCCTGTGCCCCCCCAGGCTCTGAGGAGGGGCTGCCTGCCACCCGGGACACTCGGTTACTCACCATGCAGGTGGCAGCCTGGGGTGCTGGCCGCCCCACCCCAGCCTCCGTGGAGTGCCAGGGCCAGCAAGCAGAGGAGCAGGGTTTGGGAGCACGCCATGGGCACCTGCAGTGGAGGGACCTCTACCTGGGTGTGCATGCTGTGGGTGGTGCCCGCTGATGGCACAGGCAGGGGCTGGCGAGGCACAGTTGTGTGTGCCCGCCTCTGTCACCGATGGTGTGTGAACAGCAGAGCGCGTGCAGTGAGCCTCCCTCAGCGGCAGCCCTGCCTCCCGGCACCTCCCGCCTGGCCCCGCTGGCTCACCACTTCCGAGGCGGCAGAACCAGCGTGGCTGTGGGCTCTGCTCCCCGGCTCAGATGGGCTGGATCCTGGCTCCACTGGTTCTGCTCCGGGTTTTTATTCCCCGCCGGGAGCCCCGCCTTCGGAGCTTGGCTTTCACGCCCGCTGCCTGCCTCCTCAGCCAGAGGCCTAGAGCAGGACCACCTGGGGACCTGCTGGAGGTCAGGATGCGGGGTGGGGGAGGTCAAGACCCTGGGGCCAGCTGGGCCTCACTGGATGTGACCTTGGACAGGGCTTCACCACCTCAGCTACCAAGCTGAGCCCTGCAGAGAGCACGCAGGGTCTCCTGGGAAGTGTCTGACGGTGGGCTAGGGGATGGGGTGTCTCCAAGCCGCTTCAGGGTTTCACTTGTACAGTGTCACTGGGTGACTTGTCCCGTGTGTCAGCTGAAGGGAGGAGCCTCTAGTCCCTGGAATCATGGCACCTGACTCCTGAAAGAGTCCCTGCTGTGAAGCTGGGCCAATCGGCTCCTTTTGCCAGTGGCCAAGGCCTAGAGAAGGGGACTCCCTGAAGGTCGCCTGGCCAGGTGGTGAGGGCTGGCAGCAATCCCGGTCACCTGCCACCTCGGTGCTGAACCACACTAGGGACCAGGGTGTGGAAAGTGGGGTCAGCCCCGCTTCCTCCCCTCCCCCCCGCCAGCTGGAAGTTTTCTGAGCCAGATCCTAGGAAGAGGAACCAGACAGGGGGGCCACTCCCCAAGGCCCCACCCGAGGCTGGCGGGAGGAAAGGCCACTGGTCTAGTCTCAGGGGCCAGTGTGCTGTGCCTGTAGCTGCTTGGGGCACCAGAGGTGGTCTCCCCACTGCCCCTCATTCTCAGACACCACCCCCCTCAGTCCTGTTCTCACATGGGTGGGGGGTGGGGGGAAGACAGGCCCATGATGCAGGGGCTCCAAGCAGCCTCCCACTCCTGTGAGGACCCCGCTGGGCTCCGGCTCGGGACTCGTGGCCTCGCAGGCTGGCCGCCCGTGCTGGCCGTCCTCACACCGGAGGCCATTCCAGGCTCTCATGAGGAGGGGCTCAGACGTGGCATCCTGTCGCCAAATGGCACCAGGTGGGAACGGTGGCATGGGTGTCTGGTTCATGTCTTTTCAACAACAAATGTACAAAGCCGTTTTTGTCTGAGTTCATGGGTCCCTGGGGCCACACCAGTCTCCTCTATGGGTCCCAGCTGGGCCCCATTACAAGAAGTCAAAGCCCAGGTGTCTTGTTCCAAGCCCAGCCTCCGCCGCCCTCTAGGTAACCTGGTTACCTGGAGAGACAGGTGAAAAGCTGCCCTTTGGGGTCAAAGTGGGTGACGTGGGGGAAGATGGGGCTCCAGATGGTATGTCTCATAAGATCCCTGGGCCTTCCTCTCAGCTCGAGGTTAGGTGTCTCCCCCTCCACACACACACCCAGGAAGACCTGGTGGGGCTTTGGGGCAGACCCTCTGTATCTCGGGGGAAGCTTAGCTCTCTCACACTCTACTGCGTGAAACCCCACTGATAACTCTTCATCCATAATTGACCGTGGCGAGGCTCCTAAGTGCTAGAGACAGGCCAGCACTGGCTCTCGGGCAGTGCCCTTCCTTCTCAGGCGAGGGCCGTTTGGCAAGTGCTGCTCTTTATTCAGTGTTCAAATTGGGAAAAGCAAGTGATGACCAAGGGGCAGGGGTGGGGACAGCCCACAAGAGGACAGCTGTTTGGGTCTCATCCCCCATGGTGGGCTGTTCTAGGGGGAGGGAGGGGGATGGACTAGGGCAGGCTGCGGTGGGTCCACCTGGGTCCACGGCTGCATTCAGAAGGCTCACTGGCTGTCCTTTCGGAAGAAATAGCGGAATGGGAAGAGCGAGCTGTGGATGAGAGTGGAGGATGGGGCCCCATTAGTCCTTCCTCGCCCTCTCGGGCGCTCTGAAGGGAACCAGTCTGCAGCATCAAATTAGACTCGACTCGGGAGGGACAGAGATGCACAGCGGTCCTGGGGGCGCTGAGCTGCAGCCAGAGAGAGCGCGTTACTAAAAGCTCTCAGCCAAAAGGACTCTGAAGACACAACCCAGTGATCCCGAGGGAAGACTGGACAAGGCTCCGCAGCCAAGTCACCTGAAGGCTCACGGGAGAGACAATGGTCGCCTATCCAGCCCACTGGGAAGGGTGGGGTGAGGGGTATAAAATTCCTCAATTAAGGCCCCTGTTGCCACCTTTCATCTGCCGCTTCCCTGGGGCAGGATTTGAATCCCTCTGGGTTCATGTGCTTCCTTCCCTCCGTTCTCTGAGACGGAAGGAGGCAGGCCCACGTGCTAGAGTTGCCAGCCCCCTGTCCACCATAGGAAGGAAGGCCATCCTACCTCAGAAACCCAAAGAAGCCGGTGGGCCCCAGCTCTGGAGGGTCACTAGGGGGAGGCGGGCTGTCCAGCTGTGGCAAGGGAGCTGTCTTCTCTGCCAGGCTGTCTCCCGACTTAGAACCTGCAAGGAAGACACTCAGGGAGCGGGGGATGAGTCGACGGGCTGCTGTGAGCAGCAAGGGCACCAGCAAAGGCAGCCTCCTACCAGGCCATGTCTAAGGCCAGGGGCCCATTTATCCTGGCCATCCCAATCGCACCCCAGATCCGGAAGCTGTGATTCTGAGCTCAGACAACATTCAGTTCGCAGCGAGGAGGTCCGTGAGGTCGCTGCAAAGCTCCAGATGGTGAGGGCTGATACTCTCCACTTGGGGGGTGGTGGTGGTGGAGTGTGTGTGTGTGTGCGTGCGCGCGTGCGCGCGGTTACTGTCCAACTCCCAGCAGGCCTTCCCTGGGTGCCCCACCCAGCCTGGAAGTCAGGCAGGCCCCTCCCACTCTGTCCTGGAAAACTCACCGGGTCCCACCCATGTCACCACCTTTTACCCCCGTGGGCAGCTGGGGGCTCCAGGGCAGGCCCCACACTGGTGCCCTGCCCAGGGCCCGCTTCTGCTGCTGTGCCTCGATGGGCCCTTACTGAGGGCAGGGAGGACCTACCCTGCTCCGGGACATCGGTGCTCTCCAGTGCTGGGGTCTTTGGCCATTCCTGATGGGTTCTTCGTTCCCTGTTCTGATAAAAAGACCAGGGGTCACCTGCACCTTCCCTCCCAGCAGAGGGCGTGACCTGGGCGTCTGCAGGGAGCTCCCCTCACACTAGCACTGGGCCTGGTGTGCTCAGCTCAGGCCTGTTCTCCCTTCCTTCCCAGAGGCCTGACCGGTGCCCCTCCCACACTGGAAGCCTTGAGAGCTAAGAGCTGGGTCTCAGCCACCATTCCAGGTCGCTGAGCGCCAACACCTGCCAAGAGCCCAACACGGAGGTCTCGGCGTCACCCCGAGGAGGGTCACCTGACTCAGTTCACTCGCTTACTCACTGCCACTAAGTCTGTGCCAACTCCTTGCCACCCTATGGGGCAGCACCCAGCTGCCCGTGTGAGTGTCCGGGGCTGTAGAACTTCATGGGCACAGCCAGCCTCACCCTTCGCCTTTGGAGCAGCTGTTGGGTTCGAACTACTGACCTTGCATTCAGCAGCCCTATGTGTGACCTACTGTGTCACCAGAGGGCCTCCCCTGGGGTGACGTGTGAGAGATGGCAAACTGCACTGCAGCTCAAGAACATGCGTGTGGACGCTAAGGAGGACCTTGTGGGTGCAGGCGCAGTTAGTGCAGGAGGCAGCAGGGGCATGTGAGATCTGAATGGGGCTTTGCCATAATGGGGGGTAGGGGCGGCAAGGAGAGGGATCAGCGTGACGGGCACGCCGTGCGAGGCACAGCCCAACGAGGACATGTCCCTGACACAGGCAGCAACACGACTATGGCATAAGCGGTCAGCCCAGCCGCGCGACAGCGCCTGCGTGTGGGGCTTGAGGAGCTAGCTCCCTGTGGACTTTTGAAGGGGACAGCCCACAGCCCGGTTCTTAGCCCAGCCCCCTCTCCAGGGGATGCCCGGATAGTCACAAACACGGGATGTGCACGAGAGGGCTTCAGAGAGCTTGTGGGAAAATGGAATGAAGAACTAGTGGCTCCCCGCCCCACCTTTGGGTGAAGAGCTGGCTAGTGAGGGACCACAGACTGTCAAAGTGGGCCCGGGCGGCAGAGGCCCGGCAGCTCCCAGGAAGGTACTCTTGTCCTAAGCATAAGCTTCAGGCCCAAAGGGCAGACCATTCTGAGATGAGCTTCTCCACAACCCTTTCAAATCAAACCACACGAGCATATTTCTGGAGAAGCGCCCACCTTCCTGGACAGTGGAGTGGTGGGATTCTGGTTTCTAGGTTGAGGGAACGGTTCTTACAAACTTAAAAAGCTGCTTGGGGGCTGCCAGGAGAGGTGCTGGTAGGAGCCTCTCCCGAGAAGATGCAGGGGCACCAGGAGAGGTGCTGGTAGGAGCCTCTCCCGAGAAGACGCAGGGGCACCAGGAGAGGAGAGACCCTATGGCAGAGGTGGAGCTCTCTCTGACCCAGGGGAGCCACCCTCGTAAGACAGCCTAGCTCTCCCAAAACCCTCAGGGACAAGGTCCCAGCCAAAGTCCCAAGGGAGGAACAACTCTCTCGCCTCTGAGATCAGATAGAGTGGACCAGGCAAGAACCCCCCAACACAAGGTTGTCCTCCTCGGGTTCTGGGCCAGCCTGGTCAATCAAAGGTGGCTGCAGAGCCGAGAATGAGAGCGAGCATGCCGATTCTGCTCCTGGCCATGTGTCTGCTCACCCAGCTTTCATCTGAAATCCCAGAGGCCACGGCTTTGCGGCCCTCGGCCCCCCGCGGTCCCTCATCGCCATCAGATTGGCACGGAGGCCTTCTTCAGGCATTCCCAGCACAAGCTCCTAATGTGTTCAGACGGGCATGAGCCACACTGTGATCTGCCCAGGGGGCAGGGAGGGCATGAAGCACTGGACCGTAGCCGTAGCCGCAAACACACTCTTTCCAGCTCACGGCGCTTACACTGAGAGCCACTGTGCTCACGCTCACTCCGGAGCAGCTCTGGGGCTCTGAGTCACGATCAATCAGCATGTTCCTTTAGGATCAGGTTGAAAAGGTAATTATGTTGAGTAAGAAGCTGTGGGCACTGTTCTTGAGGGAGACGATGTGTCAAACTAAGAATAGGACGGAGTGAAGGCGAGGGAGCGGGGAAGCATGCCTGGAAGAGCCGTTCTCCTGGTTGTGTAAGCGCCTTTGTTCTCCGGAGGAGCGTCGTGTACACCGCTTGCACTTTCTCATTTCTTCTCTCGACTTCTCGTGGGCAAAGGCAGGAGCGGGCTGTCCGCCGAGGACAGAAGTCACACCCTGCCCACCGAGGCCATCCATGGTCTAAGTCCCTAAGGGCATGTTCTTGCCCCAACTAGATGGAAACAGCATAGTCTTTTAGAGGGAGGCTCACGTCCCTCCTCTACAAGTCACAAAGTTTCCATCAGGCCTCAGGATCCTCCAGGTCACGCTCATCTGTGTCACGCAGCTGTGCTGCCCTGTCTCGGCAGGATGAGCGGAGCTCCAGGGGCACGGGTTGGTAGTCACAAAACCATCACACCCCTTTTCCTTTGGCCTTAGCGGCTTGAAGGGACGCTGAGATGGTCTGGGAGCCCTCCCCACCCCGTCTGGTCCGGATGAGCTTCTCTGTGGGGCTTTTGTCCCCTTGGCCCCCTGTGCTTCCTGCTATCCCTGCACATGCCAGTCACATCCCTCTCTGTGGGAAAAAGAGCCACACTGCTGGGAGCCTTTAGGGCAGACAGAGCGTGATGCCCCTGTGTGTACATGGACCAAGAGACAGTGATGCGGCGGGCAGAACAAGGACATGTTCTATGCTTTGAAACCTCCCACCATACTTATTCAGGCTGTGTGCTGCATAATTCATCTGAAACGCTGGCTTCTACAGAGAAGACCATGGCATCAGGATTGGAGGACGGCTTCGAGGTGCCGAGGACACTGAGGAGGACTACAGGCACCAGCTGGCGAAGATCAGAAAACGCGGCCTTCAATGTGGACGGCAGCTGAATGCAGAGAAAGCCCAAACCGTCACAAGTGGACTGATGGGACTGTTGCTGTTAGGTGCGTGAGTCGGCTCTGACCCGCAGCACCCCTGTGCACAACCGAATGGCACACGCACGGTCCTGCACCGTCCTCACAGCCGGAGCCCATCGACCCGTCTCACGGAGGGCTTTCCTCTTCTCTGGCCTGTACAGGCCGGCAGCACGGCAAACCGGAAAGACTGACATTGTCAAGTCTTTTCCTCTTCCTGGATCCACAGTCCACGCTCATGGAAGTGGCAGTACATTTGCTGCATAAGAGCTCTTTAAAGTGTGATGGTGCCCGGCTATCAAAAGATATAACCTCTGGGGTCTTAAAGGCTTGAAGGTAAAGAAGCAGCAATTTAGCTCAGAAGCAACAAAGCCCACATGGAAGAAGCAAGCCAGCTTGTGTGATCATGAGATGTTGCCAGGATCGGGTATCAGACATCAAAGAACAAAAACTCAAATCATTGTGAATGAGGTGGGGAGTGTAGATTGGGGACCCAAGACCCATCTGTAGGCAACTGGACATCCCCTTACAGACGGGTCTCAGGGAGGAGATGAGCAAGTCAGGGTGCAGGGTAGCAACAATGAAACACCCAACCTTCCCTATTTCCTAAATGTTTCTTCCCTCCACTATCATGATCCCAATTCTACCTTGCAAGTCTGGCTAGACCAGAGGATGCACACTGGCTCTGGTGTACACTGGTACAGATAGGAACTGGAAACACAGGGAATCCAGAGCGGATGATTCCTTCAGGATCAGCAGTGTGAGTGGCGATACCGAGAGGGTGTAGGGAGGGTGGGGTAAAAAGGGGGAACTGATTACAAAGATCTACATATAACCTCCTCCCTGGGGGACGGACAACAGAAAAGTGGGTGAAGGGAGACGTTGGATAGTATAAAATATGACAAAATAATAGTAATTTATAAATTATCAAGGATTCATGGGGGGTGGGGAGTGGGGAGGGAGGGGAAAAATGAGGAGCTGATACCAAGAGCTTAAGTAGAAAGCAAATGTTTTGAGAACGATGATGGCAACAAATGTAAAAATGTACTTGAAACAATGGATGTATGTATGGATTGTGATGAGTTGTACGAGCCCCCGATAAAATGATTTTAAAAAAAGACCTCTTTATTTTATTTTGTTGTTGTTGTTTTTGGATTTTGTGTGTTTGTTTCAAATCATTATCCATTGTGTCAAGCACATTTGTACATTCCTTGCCATCAAAAAAGATCTCTTCAACGTGATGAAGCAAGGACGTCGCTTGGAGGACTAGCTAAGAGGTCCTGTCAGTGACCTCGTATGCCTGTGAATGTTGGACACTGAGTGGGAAGAGCAAAGAAGAATCCATGCACTTGAAGTGGTGCTGGCAAAGAATACTGAAAGTACCACGGATGGCCCAAAGGACACACATTCCACCAGAGCGTTCCACGGCAGCAGGGCTGGTGAGACTTCGTCTCAAATACTTTGCAAACATCGTCAGGAGACTGGTGCCTGGAGAAGGACATCATGCTTGGTACAGTGAGAGAGGAAGACCCTCGCCCAGACAGGCTGACACGGTGGCGGCAACAATGGGCTCAAACAGAGGAAGGTGTGTGAGGATGAGGCAGGCCTGGGCTGGGGTGCTCATTCTGCTGTGCAGAGGGTCCCTGTGCGCTGAAACCAACTCGATGGTCCCCAGTGACAACCTCGGTACTCAGCATGTGGTAGACGTTCAACAAAAGACTGCTGGTCAATGCTTGTGGCCATGTCTGCTTGACCACCCATCACCTTCATGGTCCTGCAGAGGTGAGGGAGCGGCTTTGGTGGGATCAGAGAGAAGTCAGCACAAAGGAAGGCTCTATATCAGGCATGAGTAACAGCTAACTGCTATTTTGAGAGGAGAGAAAAGGAAAAGAGCACTACTTAAAAGACAGTCTGAAAACGATGCCCTTAAATGGAAGGCTAACGGATACATGGATATCTGGGTGGGGAAAGACCTCATAAATGAGACCAGAGGCTGGGGTGGGGCGTGGTGGGGGTGCTAGCCTGCGACTGCTCCCGCAGTGCCGTTTTCCTTCTTCTCAGCCTCCTGGGCTTCCAGCTGCCCACTTCATCTGCAAAACCAGACAGGGCTGAACTGAGACCGCAGGGTCTGTAGAGGCTCCCAGAGCCTCAATCCAGCACAGACCCACTTTCCCATCTCAGGGTGGAGCGCAAGCAGTAGCTTTGTGAGCCGAGTGGAGAGGAAGAACCTTTCAACAAGAGTGCACAGCCGCTGGGCGCTGGGCTGTGGCAAGGGCACGACAGCCACGGGGTGCTCTGCAACCCGAGACGGAGTCCAGTCGATTCCAGCCGCACTCAAGACTAAGATGTGCTGGTAAGAGGAATCCCAGCTAATGACCCAGCAGCAAAGGCCAAGCGCCTAGAAGCTTCCATGTTGGTGCTTACCCGCCTGCTTTTCATGGGGGTCTTCCTCTTGCTGGGGTATTGGCTGGACATCTCCGCCTTGACCCTAGAGCTGGGGAGAAAAGCCCAGGAATCATTACAGGTCAGAGGCACCACCCCCACATTCACGTGAGCATGGCCCTACTGAAAATTTCAGCAGGCTGGCCACTTCTCGCCCCACGCCTGGCCTGCAGAACACACTCTCTTTGGGTGCTGCTTCACCCACAGTAAAATCTAAGTTTGAGACGTTTAGGGGTCTGAGGGCTGAGGAAGGGGAAAGGCAACTGGCAGCAAGCTTCAGGTTCTGCTTGGTCAAGGAACACAACCCGGAGAAGGGGCAGACATGAGGCCTCAGCTCCGGGGAACATGCAGTCCAACGGAACAGAGCCTTTGCATGCCACCTGGCCCCTAGTCCTCAGGAAGGGGCAGGACTCAGCTGGCACAGCCTGCCCTCTTTGCTCCCTTAGGGTGGTTCTCTGTGACCCTGAGGAGCCTGGGAGAAACCACACCCGGGCCACACCAGCAGCTCTCTCTGGGATACTGCTGCTGGACACGACTGAATTGCCTGACTCCTTCTGTCCCCAATAAGAGCAAAAGGAGGAGGTAAGTAGCTTCCCCTATAGGGACCCCCACTTGCTGGAGATGTGCGTGGCATTTCTCCACAGCGCAGCAAAGGGACTCACTCCTCCTGGACACCCAGGACTGCCTGTTAAGGTGGGATTCTGCAAGCTAGTGAAATAGAATGATATTTACTCTCTCTTTCCAAGGCTCCCCTATACCTCATATACTATTCTGGGGCTTCAGAAGCTTTGTGCCTTCTGCTTGGGCCTTAGGGTGACTCAAAAACTCAACTGCCATCGAGTTCTGCCTCAGAGTGACCCTGTAGGACTAGGTAGAACTAGTCCTGTGGGTTTTGGTAATTCTTTACAGGAGTACAATGGCACATCTTTCTTCCTCAGAGCGACTTGTGGTTTTGAACTGCTGATCTTGCAGGTAGCAGCCCAACTTGTGGCCCCCAGGCCACCGTGGCCCTTTAGGATCCAATCCCACAGTAGGTGCTCATCCAGCCCCATGGACTTCAGCTGCACAGATCTGCCTGCATTTCCTGGGCTTTCCTCCCGAGGAGCCCTGTGTGGCCCAAGAGACCCTGTGCTAAAGTTCTCTTGCCAACATCGCTGTGCTTCCTTTCCAGAGTCCACCCACTGGAACAGGCAGGTGCCGAGGAAGCCCTGGGAGGAAAATGGATGCACCCAGGGGCGGCGAGCAGATGAGCCAGCAGCAATAACTGGCAAAGCCTCACTTGGGGGCCAGAGTCTGCCTCTCTTCCACTCCCACTGACCTTTCCAGCCCCGACGACGGCATCGGGGTCCCGGACACTTCCATGTGGCTTCGTTTCCTCCTCATGGCTCCTGCCCACTTCCTCTCTGCTCCCACCTTGAGAGAAACTAGACACGTGACTCCTTCCCTTGCTCACAGATCCGAAGGGCCGTGTGAAGAGAACCCCCCACCACCCCTTTCAATTGCCCAAAGCAACTTCTAACACCAGCCAAGGCCACTGGTCAGAGAGGCAGTCAGGAATCTGCCCAGGGAGCCGCAGGGTTTCCGAGCCACAACTCTGAAGGGGCCTGGGCTGTGAGCGAAGAGCAGAGGAGGGCCAGACAAAACATTTTGCACATCAGGGCGTGAGATAAAGGCACATTCCATTTGGCGTAGGAAACGGCAAACTCACCAATCCGAGCGCACTGTCGCTTCCGGGTTTACCTACAACAGGGAATCTGAGTGTCTTGACGGGCCGAGACTGCTGGCCACTGCTTCTTTCTCTGAACTGGCCCTGGACGCACTGCCCCTGTGTGTCTCTCTCCCTTAGCCTGGCACCCTCCCTCTGAGAAGGGAGCACCCTCAAGCTCTGGCCCTTGCGTCAGCATGACTGACTCTGACGAAGGGAAGAGGCCCGAGTCTCAGGACCTCTAACGACATCCTGTGGAAACGGGATGAGCCTTGCAACGAAAGTGGGCCTTCAGGCATCAGTGCAAGTGGGCTGGAAAGACATTTCAAACCAGACTGACAGGGTCCCGCTGTTTCTCTACGAGTAAAAAGAGCTAGAACTTGGAGATTAGGAGTCAGGGGGTATCTTAAAGATGCCTCCATTGTGAGTCGCCGAGTCCTCTACAAGGGGACGGAGTATTAGCTGGCACGCAGCTTTCCTAGAGTGATTTCCCAGAGACTTGAAGTCAGACTTCGTATTTCCTCCTGACGGTACTTCCATGGTTCATTCTGGTTGGAACTACTACTTCTCGTCATCACTTTACGGAGCAGGCACACAAAGACTACAGCATGTCCCTAAGGCAGCGGTTCTCAACCTGTGGGTCGCGACCCCTTTGGGGGATTGAACAACCCTTTCACAGGGGTCGCCCGATTCCTAAAAGTAGCAAAATAACAGTTATGACATAGCAACAAAAGTAATTTTATGGTTGGGGGTCACCACAACACGAGGAACTGGATGAAAGGGTCACGGCATCAGGAAGGTTGAGAACCATCGCCCTAAGGTATGTAGTTATTAACTGGCAAAGGCACCAGGATTTGCAAGCAACATGCTGGCTTTGAGCACATGATCTTGACCTCTATGCTGTGAGGTGCTAAGACCCAGTTTGGCTGACGGTCCTGCTGTGTCAACCTCCCCCCTTTTCTCTACCACCCACACTTCCATCGACTTACCAGGTGGTGGGTTCTCATGAAACCATTTCATCTCCACGTAGAGAGTGAAAACAAAAGGGTAAGGGGCCAAGACAAGCTCCCCGTGCTTAAATTTCAGATGGGAAACGCTCTCCCACTGGCTTTTATCTGGGAAGTGGTGCTAAGGCGTGAAAAGAGAAGCCAGTAGCCATCCGCGAGGACTGCTGTAGGGAGCACAGCCTTCCCCTTCCCTGACCGACCTCCCATGGGCCCACTGTCTGCTGCGCCCCGTGCGCCAACAAGGTGAGCGCTAGCTCATTTCCAGTCACGAAGAAAGGATACAGGGAAATATGATGAAGTGTTCTGTAACAAACGGCTGCAGATTGTCCATGTTTCCCAAGACCACACGAATAGAATCCTGGGGGGGGGGCGGAAACATTGAAATAACTTATTGTGCTTGGCTCAAGCAGGGTTCGCAAAGCCTTTTCACTTATATTCCATGAAAACTGAACGAGTGGCTGTTTCTTAGATATTCCTTCTAGGCTTCTGCATAAACGATTTCCTCTACCTGAAATGCCCTTTCCACCCATCTGCACATGTCTAAAGTCCGCCCATCCACTAAGGCAGAGTTTGAAGCCATCTCCTCTGGAATGCGTGCCCCGGTTCTCCATGCCGTAGCAAACCGTGCCTTTACTGCATCCTTGTACATGTTTTATTGTCCTCTCCTCTACAGCCTGAGGGGGGAGGGTGACCATGAATTTCAGCCTAAGACTGATTCCTGTGAAGCAGAGACCATGTGTGTCCCCCTGAGACATTTAAAGCTTATTGTGCCAACCTGGCCGATAACCACGTGGGGTTCATTGAAGTGAGGAGAGATAAATGGCTCAGTGAGCCTCGCCTTTTGAGTTCTCAGGTCTCTTACTTTTTTTTTTTTTTAATAATTTTATTAGGGGCTCATACAACTTTTTTCTATTGTTTTGTTAGGGGCTCATACAACCCTTATCACAATCCATACATACATCAATTGTGTAAAGCACATTTGTATATTCATTGCCCTCATATTTCTCAAAACATTTGCTCTCCACTTAAGCCCCTGGCATCAGCTCCTCATTTCTGCCCCCTCCCTCGCCTGGTCTCTTATTTTCTGATGGACCAAGGTGCAATTGCCTTAGCCAGTTCCCTGCTTCAGCTAGCAAGGCTCACTTCCTGCAAGACATCACCGAAGAGAAGCAGCATGGACCGACCCTGATGCAGCCCTGGGTGCTGGAGCAGCCGTGTGGAGACCCCTGCCAGCACTGAGATGCTTACACACTCACAGATTCGGCTTTCCTCCTGCAGTCGGCGTCATAGTGTGTGTTTTGTGAGATGGAGGAGGACTTTGTGGATTGGTGTCAGGCATATGGGTTAACGTTGGACTTGTGGGCTTGGGCAGCACTGGGTTGGGATGTTTTCTTGATGTGCACTTACCTGTTATATAAAACTCTCTCTTCTACATAAGAGTTTCTGTGGATTTGTTTCTCTAAAGTACCTAGACGAACACATAACCGACTCTGATATTCATCTTCCCTCCCATGGCACTCTACTTCTCTGCTGTGTGGTTATGTTTTGCAATGGCTGCATAGAACTCAAAGACCACACTCAGAATTATAGGATTCGTTAGGGAAGCAACAAGTGACAATTTAGGATGAGGATCAGAAAGCAGGTAGGCAGTCTCTCTTCCTCAGTATGGGACAGCTCTGTCACTGTTCAGCTGTGGAGATGCCTCTCGGTCCTTGAAGACAAGCTCCTCTAGGCCCCCAAGGAGAGGCCCCCTTTCTCAGTCCTCAGTCTTGCCTCTGCTCTGTTTGGGCAAGGGTTTTACATCTCTTGAGTTCTGCTAAGTACTCAGTGCCACCCGACTCCTCCAGACAGCTTCCTGCCCCAAAGCACTCAGCTGTCTCATGCCCTGGGACAACTGCCGCACTGCAGCCACCTTGCTCTGTGGGCCAGGAAGCCTCCCACACTGCCTTGTGCCAGTCTCCAGGTTGTTTCTTGCCGTCTTGTGCCGTCACTGGTGTCACAGCTCTCGTCTCCCGGATCTTGCTGGTTGTCGGCACAGAAACCTGAGTCCAAGGGATATCCTCCACATCCAACTCTTCTTTCTCGGTGGTACTGCGGGCCCTTCCCTTACATCAGGGATGGATCCTTTGATGCCTGCAAGGATGGTGAACCTGAACAATCCCCTCACCATATTTGCTTCAGTAGCAAGCTGTCCAATCCCCTTAATGGGCTTACATGGGCCAATTTGCATAGTCCTGCCCAATCATTTTATTGGAAGTACAGGACCATGCATGGCTAGAAGGGCCATCAGGTCTACATTCTACCGGGAGGAGATTTCCCAGTATATTATAGTTACTTAGTTTAAATCTCTCTTTAAAAAGGTAAACCTGAACTGATTACGTGTTAAGCGATATTCATTGTTGCTGTTAGTTTCCATCAGGCGGACTCCTGGCCGTCCCTTCCTGAGCCAGAGTCACGATCTTGGGATGTTCGAGCCCATTGTTGTGGCCATTGTGTCAATCTGTCTCGTTAGCGATTCCTCTCATTTTCACTGGCCCTCAATTGCAAGAAAAAGGATCTCCTTTTCTAGTAACTAGTCTTTCCTGAAGAAACGGCTGAAGTAAACAATTCAAAATCTCACAAAATCCTTGCTTCAAAGGAACATCCTGCTTGCATTTTCCAAAGACCGATTTGTCTGTTCTTTTGGCAATCCATGGAATAGTCAGTGTTCTTTGCCAAGACCACAGTTTAGATGTATCATTTTCCCCTCGCTTCTTTTCCCACGTATATGAAGTAACTAAAAGGACCATGACTTGGGTCAAGCACACAGTAGGTGTAAAAGTATCATCTTGGGTTTTTTTTAAATCTTTGCTTTCAAAGGAGTTATGTGTCCTTTGATTTCCTGATGGCTGCCATCCGTGGACGCTGATCACGGACCCAAGTAGAATGACATCCCTGACAACTGCAGTCTCTTCCCCTTCATCATGTTGCTTACAGATGCAGGTCCTTCGTGTTCAGGGTGGTCCACACGCGAGAAGGGCTTTATCAGGGGCTGTACCTTACGTAATCTACTGCACAGGTAATTCAACTGGGACACAGCATCAGGACTAGAGGAAAGTTCATTAATAACCTGAGATTTTGGTTTTTTGCTGTTGGTTTTTGTTGTTGTTGTTTTATTTCTTTTATTGTTGTTTTGCTCTGTCTTGTTTTTGTGATTATTGTCTTTGCATGTCTATCTAGATAAGACAGGAGGGATAAACAATCTGGAGAAAACAATGGGATTGATGGTTGGAGGGGGGGAGGAACACGGGAGAGGGGGAGGTGGGGAAAAGGGGGTGCCAACAAACCCAGGGACAAGGGAACAAGTAATCTAAAATCAATGGCGAGGAGGGTGTAGGATGCCTGGTGGGGCTTGATCAAGGGCAATGTAACCTAGAGGAATTACTGAAACCCGAATGAAAGCTGAACATGATATCGGGACAAGAGGAAAGTAAAAGGAAATAGAGGAAAGAACTAAGAGGCAAAGAACATTTATAGAGGTCTAATTCAGGCATGTACATATGTAAATATACTTATCTATAACGACAAAGGAACAGATCTATATGCATATATTTATAGGTTTAGTATTAAGGCAGCAGACACACATTGGGCCTCCACTCAGGTACGCCCTCAATGCAAGAACACTTTGTTCTAATAACCCGGAATTTTGTGATGCTCACCTTCCCAACCCAATTGCTGAAGACAAAATGGGTGCATAAGCAAATGTGATGAAGAAAGCTGATGGTGCCCGGCTATCAAAAGATATAGCACCTGAGGCCTTAAAAGCTTGAAGATAAAAAAGCAGCCATCTAGCTGAGAAGCAACAAAGGCCACATGGAAGAAGCACACCAGCCTGTGTGATCATGAGGTGTGGATGGGATCAGGTATCAGGCATCAAAGACTCCAAACAAACAATCATAAGGATGTGAATGAGGGGGAGGGTGCAGTAGAGACCCAAAGCTAAGGTGACCAGATTTAAAGTGGGACACCATTGGCCTGAGGGGGGGTGTTCTTGATTAAAAATTTGGTCTATATGGACCAAATAGACTGTTCCCTAGCTTGTCGTGCATTCTTGCCAAAAATCAGGACTTTTTAAAAATGCCAAAAATCGGGACGTCTGGTCACCTTACCCAAAGCCCATCTGTAGACAACTGGACATCCCCTCACAGATAGGTCACAAGGAAAAGACCAATGAAACAATGGAACACACAATATTCCTCTAGTTATTTAATGCTTCCCCACCTCCAACTCCCCGCACTACCATGATCCCAATTCTACGTTACAAATCCGGCTAGACCAGAGCATGGACACTGGTACATTTAAGAGCTCACTACACAGGGAATCTAGGATAGATCAACCCCTCAGGACCAATAATGAGAGTAGTGATACCAGGAGGGTAAGGGGAAGGTGGGGGAGAAAGGGAGAACTGACCACAGTGGTCAACATATAACTCCCTTCCAGGGGAACAAACAACAGAAAAGTGAGTGAATGGAGGCAGTGGTCAGTGCAAGACACGGGGGAAATCAAGGGTCCATGAGGGAGGGGAGATGGGGGAAGAGGAGCAAAAGGAGCTGATACCAAGGGCTCAAGTAGAAAGTTAGTTTTGAAAATGATGATGGCATGTATGTACAAATGTGCTTGACACAATGGATAGATATATGGATTGTGATAAGAGCTGTAAGAGGCCCCAATAAAATGATTTTTTTTAAAAAGAAAGTTTACAGAACCCCCCCCCCAAGGGAAAATTTGAAAAATGATGTAATTATGCTTTTGAAATGAAAATTATATAAAATGTGGAAGTTAAAGTTATAAAAATTGCAAACTAAAAAAAATTTAAATGATAAGGAAAATACAGATCAAAATGACAGCTAGATTTCATAAGATATATGAGACCCTTAGAACTAGAAATTTTATTTGAGAAATTTTTAGACTAAATTGGTTCCAGATTTTATTTAGCAGAATACTCATTTCAGCTTTACTTGCTATCATGAGATGGTAAATAACTAAAAGTGACAAAAAATAATAATAACCTGAGATATGCTGATGACACAATCTCACATGTTAAAAATTAACATAACCTGGAGCAATTACTGATGGTCAAAGATGCTTATTTGTCTATACTAATTAAACAATTTGGTATCATAAAAGGACTACTGGATTTCTATGAAAAAAAATTCTGAATTTCAATCTCAGCTTTGTCATTTCACCTCTCTAAGCCTCATTTCCCTCATGTGTGATCTCACAGAAGGCAGACATTGTGTTCCATTTATCTCTGGATTCTCTGCTTAGCACAGCATCTAACTTCTAACTTTAGTAGCTGATATTTATCCAGTAATTACT